TCCAAGCAGAGGGCATTTTTAGCCGCACTCTGTTTGCCGTCCCTCATGTGCAGCTCTGGACGGCATACTTGAACTACGTCCGTCGAAGAAATGATCTCAACGACCCGTCTGGCCAGGCTCGCCAGACAGTTAGCCAAGCCTACGAATTTGTCCTCAATAATATTGGACAAGATAGGGATGCAGGAACAATCTGGCAAGATTACATTTTATTCATCAAGAGTGGCCCTGGTCAGCTAGGTGGCACAACCTGGCAAGACCAGCAAAAGATGGATCTTCTTCGCAAGGCATACCAACGTGCTATTTGCGTTCCCACATCCAACCTGAATTTATTCTGGAAGGAATATGATCAGTTTGAATTAGGACTAAATAAGATGACTGTTAGTTGTACTATGACCGTCCTACTGTGTGTTGTGTTGCTAACTGTGTACAGGGTCGGAAATATCTCCAGGAACGCTCACCAGCATATATGACAGCACGCAGCGCTAACACAGCCTTGGACAATATCACGCGCGGTCTCAAACGAACGACTTTGCCCCGCTTACCACCCGTGCCTGGTTTTAATGGTGATCAAGAATTTCTTGACCAAGTTAAGCTTTGGAAGGCTTGGGTTGCCTGGGAGAAGGACGACCCGCTCGTTTTAAAATCGGAAGATCTTGCAACCTACCAACAACGCGTCCTCCACGTCTTCAAACATGCCCTCATGGCCTTGCGATTTTGGCCAGAGATGTGGGTTGATGCCGCAGAGTGGTGCTTCGAGAATCACATCACCAAAGACGGAAAGAATACCGGTCTTTCATTTCTTACCGACGGTGTCACCGCAAATCCCGAAAGCGCTCTTCTAGCGCTCAAGCATGCTGATTATATTGAGCTCACGCAACGCGCCGGCGAAGACGAACAAGCCAAGGCTGCTTTAGCACAGGCCGTGAGGGCTCCATACGACAAAGTCCTTGATACCCTGTATGATATGATCAAGAAGCTGAAGGAAAAGGAGTCCTCGGCAATAGCCAAGATCAAGGAGGATACCACAGGGGAGCCGGCTACAAACGGGGCTGCTGGTGGGGATGAGGACGACGATGAAGGGGAAATCAAAGAAAATTCTACTTCTGCTATATCAAAGCAGGATAGAATCAAAGCAGTCCAAGATGGGTTTGCTGTTCAGATTCAAATGCTATCACAACAAATTTCGTATCTTTGGATTGCCCTCGCGCGGGCCTTCAGACGATTTCAGGGACAGGGCAAGAGCTCACCACCCACTGGCCTGCGCGGCATTTTCACCGAGGCACGCGGTAAAGGTCGCCTCACCAGTGAAGTCTACATTGCGATAGCACACATCGAGTGGGATGTCTATCAAGATTCTGTGGCAACCAAGATCTTTGAACGCGGATCAAGGCTCTTTCCAGAATCAGAGCATTTCTTCGTCGAGTATCTCAAGCATCTGCACACGAGACGCGACTTTACAAGTAAGTTTCCATGTAGCCTGAAATTCGTCCATCTTAAATCTTTTGCTAACATTCTCACCTAGATGCTCGAGTTGTTTTCTCGCAAACAGTCAAACGCTTCAAGGAAAAGCCTGAACTGACTCCCAAACTTAAGCCGCTCTTCGCATATTTTCATGCTTATGAAGCTCGATATGGGGAGTTGGCTCAAGTCCAAGAGCTTGAGAAGCAGATGGCTGAGCTGTTTCCAGATGAGCCCAGATTATCACCCTTCGCTGCCAGATTCGCTACAGACAGATTCGACCCCATTACTGCCCGGGTCATTATCTCCCCGGCACAACAGATGCGCCCTAAAGCGGCCATCTTCCCATCCGTAGAAGGTGTATCGCCTTCTCTCCATGGTACTCCGCAGCCTATGGCACACCCTGAACGAAGTCCTCGGCCGCAGTTCCTGCCAGTCAACCCGGGTAACCTGCACTCGCCAAAACGGCCGTTTCAGGATGATGCCGATGATTATAACCCACCTCGCAAGATTGCCAGAGGCGTCTCACCACTCAAGGGTGCTGCAGGTCGTAGACTTGACCAGCAACGTCGGCAAGGAGGAACAACAGCCTCGGGTGCAGCAATGCCAATTCCACGAGACATCACATTCCTTCTGGGGTTAATCCCTCCCGCCGACACTTTCCATGCGCATCGGTTCAAACCTGAACGTATGGTACAACTCATTCGAGAAACCGATATTCCGACTTTTTCTGAATGGAGAACACAAAATGAGCAATCTCGTGCACATATGCGCCCGCCATCGTCGGACTTAGGGGCTTATCAGTACTCGGGACGGGATTCGCCCGGAATTACTGGCCGGCCTGCTAGCCCATATGCTGGCGCTGCTCGTGCGGTTGCTCAAGCTTCCACTACTTACCGAAACTCTCCCCTCCGCCCAGGTTCTAGTGGGTCGTACGAGCCGCCTCCTGCAGCATACCAAGCTCCCGGCCCAAGTCCTTTCAATCCCATCACACAACATCCTCAAGTGAATCCCACCAATCCTTATGCAGGCTGGCCAAATAATTATGCTGAGATGTTAGCTCAATATTCTGCCTCCCACTCCGCTCAGCCCCAGACCTACCCTGGAGCCTACTACTAGCGGTAGCACCAGCTCGGAATGGCCCAGGGCAATGCATTCGCAGCCACCTGCACTGAATAATCGAGAACTCGCAATGAAACGTCTCAGCAGTGCTAGATGGTAACGATTTGAATGAGGGAAACCGGCCGAGTAGCTGCCAATACGTTGAGGTGACTTGTCTCTGACCGCTCAGCTCAATATGTGAACAGATCTCTGAGTGACGGTCGTAATGCCGAGCTAGCTACAGCTCGAGATAGTTTACTTTCTAATCCGAAATGAAGGGGCGAAGGACAGAGATTCACAATTTGTTGATGAATGATATCGAGGAAGATTCGGATCAACAGTGGGTTTCAGATACTTGCAATTGTGAGTAAAGGGTGGAAAACCAGGACGAACAACGTACGGGGAAGTCGGAGAGCACTGTTGTCCGGCAGCAGTTATTTTCGTTAGTTATAACGGCATTTGGGAGATGGCACTCTCTGCATGGTTCGGCGTTGCGGACGTAGTCGAGGCAGTCTAATTGCCTCCGTGTATCAATCTAATGTAGCAGTACTAGGTACTCAGCAAATTTCTGCGAAGAGGAATTCCCAGGAGGCGGTTAGCCCCAAGGGGTATGCAGAACTGAGGACGAATCGGTAGATGAATCAAAACTCTATTGACAATGTATCAAGGTGTCTCAAGTTGCTGTTTCATAGTGGTTTGTTTGGGAGTAGAATCCTACTAGTTATCCGGCTCTTGCTGGTTGCGAAGAAAATTCGTCCTCTCACCACCCAAGCTGAGGCTCGGGATTATGACGTTGGAAGGTTGCAGCTTGTCAGCCTCATTACGAGCTGAGGTAGAACAAGCTGCTGTCGAACTTCTAATAATGCAGGTAGATAGTCCCGATACCGGTCATTTATATGTTTTGAAAAGAACAACCGTTAGATCCTGCGCGGCTACAGAACCAAGCTTGCCATGTAGCCCGTTCACCCCGAGCATGAGTAGGTAAATAGGTTGAACTACAGCGAAGCATGCAGTGACCTCTTCATTTCTCTCATTCGCCCTATTATGACAGAGCCCTTAGCAATAGAGGGGGTAAGAAGTTATGGTTAGGAGAAAGCAAGGTCGCCTCTCGATAATATGAGAGATGGGGACATACCTAAGCCTCGTAGTGATGATTTGTTTACCAATATATCTTTATACTGGGAAGACGCTGCAAGACAACGGTCATTAAACCGGGGCCTGGAGAACTAGACATATATGCTGCTGTAAGGCAATGGCCGCAAAGATTACCTGACATGTGAGGATTCAGCAGTGATCGTTTTTAGAGGTCATAAGAGCTCTGTTTACTTGAGTGTTTAGCCAGTCGCTCTCATTTTTTTTCTCCACTAAGCTTGCCCCTTTCCAATCTCCTAAGTGGTTACACTTGGAGGGCTGCATTCGATCGAAATGGTGAGGAATCGCTCATAGGTTTTCTCTTCCGCTGATGATATTTTGCAGACGGGGAAGGTCGTAGGTATTCTCGCCCCAGGCTTCCGTGAAGCATCGTATCTGATAACATATTGACCTGTCACTTAATGGAACTTAGGTAGGTAGTCTAGGCGAGATGTCGTTCCGCATCTCCTGCTCCCATCCGAATCCTTCCCCTTCCATCTTGGTCGCAGTACGCCTTAGAACTCGGCCGGCAACATACTCTTAGCTGCTTATCAGATCGGATAACTATCTACCAAGTGAGTAGCTTAGTGTTATAATAGTTGAGATTACAGCACTGCAGGCATGTTTCTAGACGAAAACGCAATGCATGAGATTGGCGGTATCATCGTTTAGGATTGAAGTGTTATTAATATACCAACCCTGATTCCATTCGACAATGTAGAGTAAGTACTTAGGCAGTGTCGGCTTATTGATAAGGTACCTTACCTTAGACATATATAAGTATTCCCTTCCATGTTTAATGATGTCGCCTTACCTAAGGTACTTTATTCTGCAAGAAACCCCCCTAAGCTCTGACCTCGGCGCCACGCGCAGCTCTCCCAACATTTATGCTTGTATTGGTCGGCACTCTAATTAGGTACTCTATCAGGTTCCATTCCATCCAAGTGTCAACTTCACACTTCGGGTACCTCCCTATTCTATCAGATGGCGATGTACACCTACATTATGGAGTTACCTAATGGCAAACAGGCTTTGATGTTTCTGCCCGTTTGAAGTGATTGATCGTGTAACCAGGTACATAAGGTACCTAAGTAAGTACCTTAGGTACCTGGACCTGGCATATCAGCACCTTCCTCTCCCGCTCCAATTCCCAAATCAGCAACCGCGCCCGCTGAGATCCTCAATATTCAGCGACATCAAACACACGACAAACGTCCATAAACAGCAATCCATCAATCTATCGACAGAAAAGAAAGGCCTCTTATATGATGCCTCACAAGGAAGGCAATGCATAACACGCATCAATCGAGGCCCCTTTAGCTCATCGGTAGAGCGCCTCACTAGTAACCCCAGTAGTAATGAGGAGGCAACTGGTTCGATTCCAGTAAGAGGCATCACTTTCTCTTTTTTTTTCTTGCGATTCTATCATAGGGCGAAAGTTGGGGATTCTCACTGGCGACTGCGAGAGCGTTGGCTCTGGCTCTACGAAGAGTCGCGGCTGCTGACCTGCCCTGTCAATGAAGGAGATGCTGCTGGCAGCTGTGCTGAGTCTGCCAGTGTTATTCCACTCGTGTGCCCCTGAATATATCGATAGTACGTCGCTGCTGTTTCATAGAATGATCACCTAACAACGACATATCTTTTCCGTGAAAAGAAGCGTTCGGTTTACTCGCCGTGATAGATCTTTTGCGGGTATTTCACCTGATTCTTGCTCGATACTGCATACGCAGGATACCCAACGTTGATACCTATTCGTGTTCGTACCTTAGTGTCCCGTGTGTCCATCTCTGATACAGCTTTTCTCTTCGCCGCAAACGCCAATATTGTTAGATCTCTACCGTACTACGTAACAATACCCAGCCACTTTTCTCATTTCATGATGAATGCCAATCTCCACATTAAGAATGCCTTATACTTGTCAGTCAAACACTCGACTACATCACGTAGTATCTACCTAGTAGTAGCACGTTGTCCCATGACGTTACCTAACGTCTTAATAACTTTTTCCACACGACAGACACTGAGGATACCTATCAGCCTGAAGTACACAGACGAAACACATAGCCTATATCCAGGTAGAAGCAGCCCACTCCGGTCCATTTTCATGCTACCCGCTGCGGCACTCTCTGCGCGACATCATCTCGTCACCAGATATCTTGCCTGCCTTTTGCTGCCACTCCGTGTTTCACGGCAGAGTAAATACGTCAAAGGCATAGATCTCGCTAAGCCTACGTTGATGCTTGGGATGGGTTTTCAGTGTGAGGGATCCGCGGTGTCAGGAAAAACTAGCTGTTCAATGACCACCTACTCAGGCTGTAGGTAGCCATTCTAGATAATATAACTTAGAAGCCAGTCTCGCCTAAGTTGACTCTATATGATCCGGTATTTTCTGAGGCACTGGCCACTAGTTGGTCAATCAAACTGTTGCTACCTTACCTACGTACGTAGGCAGAACTTCTCTCTTTACCTACTTAAGAACTCTCCAGGACCTGGCCGCTCTCAAAGCACATGCTCATCTACTCCTAGTGTTAAATAATCTCGTAGCCCCCATTCAAAAGCTGACATTCACACTCATTCCATGCCCTCCCTACCTTAGGTAGGTGTTTACTCAAGATCGGCTCCGGGTTAGTACCTCCCCTCCTGCTTGCTGAGCACAGCGTGACCTTAACGACTCTACCTACCTTAGGTACTTTACTTACTCAACAACTTCTTCACCAAATGCTTCTCTACTTCTGACCGCTCATCTTCTACAACTCTTCAGCATAACACCAGCGCAATAAGAAGCGCCAGGATTCTCCAGTTTCCCGATCGTTAGATCAGACACTTGCAAATCTCATCGCCAATAACAACCCCCCCTACGCCCCGCAGGCTACTTGGTTTATCCATCTGCGTATGGTTGCTATCCAGCCCCACGCACAACACCAAACATCTTTCGCAAATCAGTAGTACCCTCGAGTCAATACCTCTCCTGTCCAGACCCTCTCGTCTGATTCTAGGTAGTAAGTGAGTTACATACCCAATTACTACCCACTCCATCATCCACGGAACACATTCATATTTGCGTTACCTCATACTCGGATTCTACCTACGCACATACTGCCAGTTTACGCCCCGTCCCTCTTACGCCAGCACCTACCTCGACCACCGATATTGTGGCATGCCTTCCTTGCCCTTGATATCTGCATGCATTAGTACCTACCTTCACTCTAGGTAAATACCTACATGTACCTAACTAAAGGTACCTCGCAGTTTGACTGAAGCAGGTGCCTACCATTGCATTACCCAACTACAACCTTGTTCCTCCCAACTCCGATCAACATCTCTAGGTACGGTAGGAAACGACTACTCTACTTAAGGATTCCTTTCTTTCTCTCTGTCACCATTCTGCACCATTCTCACGCCAATTCAGGTACCTAGGTACATAGGTACCTTACAACTACCTACACCCGCAAGGCAGCAACTCGCAACTGCCTTCAATACTAGGTAGGTACAGACAGCATGCCTACCGCAGCCACATATTGAAACAAACCTATCTCTCCCACTTCCCTACTTACCTGTCTATACCTACCTACCTGCCTTACCTACCTGTAACCTCTTACATAGTACATAGTACCTAAGGTAAGTACCTTAGGCACCTACATGTGAACCTTCCACTCTGAGCCCTTCAATACGCACCTGGGCCGCCATCACTTGGCCTGGGACTTCTCTTCTCCCACCGCACCAACTTCCATCATCGCCCACTTCTCTCCATCATCAGAATCCAACCTACCTAACTCGGCATCGCCGACCAGACCCAGCACTCAGACATACCCTTCTCAACCGCACACACACATGGTTTTGACACCTCGTCAGTTATCATAACTACTCTCATAGCGGACTACAGTCGCCGTACCTCCAAGCGAGGCGTCTGCCTGCACAAGTCAATATTCCACTGACTCTACGCATGCAACGCGGCGTCTACACGCCCCTCCACCTATTTTCTCACTTTTCAATCTCTTTTCCGGGTGGTTCTCTCTAGCCTCAGTCTCATCATCCATCATCCCCTCGCTTCGTCCATCTTCAGGTAACCAACCATTAACGTTTCACAAACCACCAGCAAGCTACCCAGGCCCCTCTACCTCGCGCGAACCTGTAAGTATATCATTCTCCAGTAGCACATTCATTTTTATTCATGTAGTAGACTCGTTCAAAAAAAATCCCTCATACCCTTCTCGCCGGTACGCACCCGTCTCTCACCAACAGTGGACAACTCCCTCTAAGGACTATCCATGATTACGGCACTCTCTCTATTCCAGCCACCATCTATTTGTTCGGCCACCAGGCGATCCAAATTTCCACCGCTTCTGCCACCTCGTACTTCTGGCTACACAATTGACTGCATACCTGCATTGCTCTCTGGCTCCATATCACACCATTCTTTACCGCAACTAAACATTCCGGGCCTCCTACATGTGGAATACGCTGACACAAAAACCATAGCTCGATCTATCCGGAGCCGACGACTGAGTAAGTGACTGGCTTACGCTCCAAGGTAAGTTTGAGCTCCAAGCTACCCGTTGTTGTCGTTTCAATCTTTTAAAACATTCAATTCGACTCCTGCATAAATCGCTTCCCTATTCGACAACCTTTAACACTCTTGTTTTCTTTATGTTTAACTCGGATAAGAGATCACCGAACAAAGTATACTTTATTAAATCTCTGAATCCTCTATCCCTTACCGTATTACACACAAGCCACACTTTGACAATCCACGCCACCAACACTAACCTCCGGAGAACACCCTTTATAATAGCCTGTATTGTTTATCTTTCATTGGCTCTGCTGCTGCACTGTTGTCATTAATTTCTCTAAGAGCAACTTTATTGATTTGCTTTACCTCCCACCCTACGGGCATTCCAATTACTAACCATCAACTATAGGGCATTACCACAATGGCTGGTTCTCCGCCCTCCCAGCAGGCTCCCCTCAGGAACCCCAACCTGGATCGAGTTGCGGGAATGAATCTTGATGGAGCATCCGATCGTCCTCACGGATCCGCTGCCGGATCACACCGTGGATCCGTCTCGGGTTCACAGATTGGTTCACGGCCCGGCTCGCGGGCCGGTTCACCTCCCAGACCGTCGCCCCATCAATCCCCGACACCTGCCGGTGGAAAGTCTAGTGTGTTCGGTGTTGAACCATTGGGATACGACCCGGCACGCGAAAACCCATTGCGTCCAGTTGACATTGTTGGCAAGCGAGTCGATTTGCCAGCGGATGCATATCTAGACGTAAGACTCTACCTAGTCACAAGAATATCTTTTGATCAACAAATGGAATTTATGCTGATCTCATTTGCTATTCTAAAAATAGCATCCCGACAAGAACCGGTTCACATCTCGCCCTGGTTTCAATACCGAAGGGAAGCCAATTCAAGTGCAACTAAATATCTTCCCAGTAAAAGGATTTTCCTCCAATGATATCTACCAATACGATGTAAGTTGGAAGAATTTCAGATGGATTGACATGTGTTTACTTAATATCTCCAGGTCTCCATAAGCCCAGAACCAACCAACCCTCGTGCTGTGTTGAAGAAACTCTGGAACTCTGAGCCTGCTCAGACAGCCATGGCCAGAGCTGGTGGGGTGTGGCTCACCGATGGCAACAAGCTGGCTTGGTAAGTAGGACGCAGTCAATCTTCACCTATCGTTGTGCGCTAATAACTACTCAAATAGGTCATCTCAAAGGATCGAACGTAACGAATTTCGAGTTACGGTCGATCTCGACGCCGGTAGGCCCAACACGGGAAGGGGTGGAAGATCTAATGTCTTCTTCCTTAAAGTTAAGCAAAGCACTACTGTGAGGTTGCAATACCTCCACCAGTATCTTCAAGGGAAGATCGGATGGGATAATCATGTCCTTGAGTGCATGAGTATGATCGTGCCACTAGATGCTTGAGCTTGAATTTAAGCTAACTTTTATAGATTTCTTCGACCACTGTATGAGACAAGGGCCGTCGGAAAAGATGCTTTCAATTCGTCGCAATATTTACCCGAAGAATCCGCAATCAATGGAGCTTGACCGCGTTGTAGAGGTCCACAAGGGGTATTATTCGGCTGTACGGCTCAGTGAAGTAAGGACACATCTCAAACACGCTGTAATAAACGTTATAACATACTGACAACCCATTCGCTCTTCAAAGGCTAAACAGTTGATGATCAATATTGACACAGCGAATACGGCCTTCTGGCAGGTGAAGACGATTGCGGAGATAGCGCTGCGAATGTTCAATGCGCACAAAGACCAATGGAGCAACTGTGAGTTATTATTCGCACATCGGGGCTTGTATACTAATAGGATGTGATAAAGGGAGCTGGGTAGAGTTTGCAGAACAAGTTCGCCCGATACCAGCGAT